GTGTGTGTGTTATATGTCAATCATTGTGATCAGTTCCCCCTTTCTCCCTCCACCTTCCCCCTACCCTCTTAGTATCACTACTCTCATTATTGGTCCTGAGGGTTTATCTGTCCTGGATTCCCTGTGCTCTTATTTGTACCCATATACATGCCCAGGTCTAGCCAGATTTTTAGGGTAAATTAGGGTAATGAAAGTTGGGGAAAGTAAGCATTAAAGAACTAGAGGAAAGTTGTATGTTTCTTCAGTGCTTTACTCCACCATGACTGGCTCATCTCTTCCTTGTTACCCTTCTGTGAAGGGATGTCCCTCTGTCTACAGATGGGATTTGGGTCTCCACTCTGCTCTCCCCCTCATTCACATTGATATGATATTTTGTTCTGGGTCTTTGATGCCTGAAACCTGATCCCTTCGACACCTCACAATCACACAGGCTGGTGTGTTCTTCCATGTCGTTTTTGTTGCCTCTCAGCTAGATGGTTGCTTGTTTATCTTCAAACCTTTAAGACCCCAGATGCTATCTCTTTTGATAGCCGGCACGTCAGCTTTCTTCACCACATTTGTTTATGCACCCATTTTGTCTTCAGCGATCGCTCAGGAAGGTGAGCATCACAGACTGCCAGGTTATTAGAACAAAGTGTTTTTGCATTGAGGGGGGACTTGACTAGAGGCCCATGCACAGAGAGGACCATAGAGCTGGGGTTACCATGAGACATGACGTCTCTCACTGTCGCATAGCACTACAGAGGGTCAACACTGGAGACAGTGCAGGAATTGTGCCCGATCTGACCCCACCACACTGGTAAGAGCGTGCAACAGAGCAGCAAGTAAATCAAAGCAATGAAGTCCCCAAGGAATCCCAAAAATAGACTTTGGGGTCAGGATGTGGCACCTCATTAGACTCAACTGGAAAACACTCATAAAAGTCAACAAACAGACCTGGAGCTATTTGCAGACTTTTCTTTTTGTTGTTGTTGTTTTGTTATTGTTCCTGTTGTTGCTTGTTGTTTTGTTTTACTTTGTTTTGTGTTTATTATTATTTTTGCACATCTCTCTAGATAACAATCCTGGAATAACAATCTGGGGGGGAAGGGGACAACGATACCAGGGGGACATGGGAGAGTGGGATGGGGGGGCGAGGCAGAGGGGAGCCAACAAACCCAGGGACAAGGGAAAAACAAATGACCTAAAATCGATAGTGGGACAAGAGGAAAATAAAAGGAAATAGAGGAAAGAACTAGGAGGCAAAGGACATTTATAGAGGCCTAAATACAGGCATGTACATATATAAATATTTATAAATAACAATAGGGAAATAGATCTATGTACATATATTTATTTATTAAGTATTAATGTAGCAGACAGACATTGGGCCTCTAAAGTATTTTCAATATCCTTTGCCAGCTCAATTCTTTGGTCTTCCTTATTAAATGTTCAAATTCCACATGCATTTGTGAAACAGTATGGAGAAGTTCTACTCTGTCCCATAGGATAGTGGGTTTGGATTTTGTTTAGGGATTCTTCTCTTGTTGTTTATGTAGAAGAAAATAAAAGTCAGTGTTTTGTTTCAGATCAATAGCGTACTTAAGCAGATGAAAGTGATATTCAAGACTGCCCTACTTGAACCCAAAAGCCAAAACCTAACATAGTCCTCAAATCCATTCTGACTTGTAGCGACCCTATACAAGGTTTTCAAAAAAACAAGTCTTTGCAGGAGCAGGCAACCTGTCTTTCTCCTGTGGAGCAGCTGATGGGTTTGAACTTCTAACATTACAGTTAGCAGCCCAATGCCTAATCCCCAGAGCCACCACGACTCCTTTACTGAATGAAAGGTTTTGTTATTCTCTCAGTCTATATCATTCAATCTTTATGCCTCCTGTATAAATTAGAATGACCGTGGAGCCACATACTAAACCTATACCGATGATAAATCGCCTTCACTGCCTAAGCAGTCAATGGCTCAGTTATTTTCCTGCCAACAAGCCTTTGTCTTCCTTCACTTGGGAAGCTGAAGGAGAGAATAGTGGTAACGGGCACTGGCCACCGTTGTCTGTGCCAAAATAGCAGTCCACCCACCTTCTTTCGACTGCGGGGTGCTGTTTAATTCATCTGTACCAGTTAACACACACACGTGCACACTGCCAGGAACTGGGTACAAAATATACTCTTGTACGAGATGATTGGATTCAATGTTGTGGCTGAAATTTAAGTGCGGCTGCATAAATTAGTGATGATTAATATCAGCTGATTATGTGCCAACACAGTCGTGAGGCTCTTACAGTGCTTTCATGAAGTCATGCTCGGGGAAGTATAAAAGGAAACACCTGCGCCCTTCAAATGAGTTAAGTGAAGAGTGGAAGTCCCCACATGCAACCCAACTGCAGGGAAAGGCAAAGAGAGAAATAAAACAAGCCCAGCAGTGTGGTGGGAACAAGAAGAGGGCTGACTTCCAAGGAAATGGAAACGTTCTGCTGGATGGAACAAGAATCTGCTTCCAAGAATTTGAGAGAAAGGACAAGCCGGAGGAGCGTGAGCATCACGAAGCAGCAGCAGTTTGATTGTTTAATGATGATTGACCACTGCTCTGTCCTTCTTTCTATCGCTTTAGTCTCCTTCCTCTTGATTTCGCTATTGCACTGTTCTCTGATTTCCACCCTAACGTGTTTTACCTCTTTTGTCTCCTGTGCATGTCTTCATTGCCCAGGTGAAATTGAGTGAATCTGAACTCTTAGAGACCCTATGCATATCAGAGTAGAACCATGCTCCATAGGTTTTTAACTGCTGGTAGTTCAGCAGGAGATAAGCCAGATGTTTCTTCTGAGGCACCTCTGCGTGGGCTCACACCTCCAGCCTTTTAGTTGGCAGGTACATGTGTGAAACCTTTGCAGCGCTGAGGGACTTCCTGCACAACTGCATCTCGCCTCACTGCCACTGAGTTCATTCTGACCCATAGTGACCCTGTAGGGCAGAGTAGAATTGCCTCGGTGGGTTTCTGATGTTGTAAGGCTTTACAGAAGCAGGAAGCCTCGTCTTTCTCGCATTGAGTGGCTAGTGGATTTGAACTGCTGACCTGTATCACCCACTATGCCGCCAGGGCTCTTCATGCATGCTATAGTTTCCTTAAAATACTACAGTAATTAACTTCTTCTAAGACCTAAAAATGAACTCGTCAAGAAAGAACAGTTTTTGTTGTGACTACATACACAACCCAATTAACATGATCGATTGTGGCCCTCTGATACAGATTTCCCAGCTCATATTCCCTTGATTAGATTTCCTGTTTGTCCTTTCTTCACTCTAAGCCATAATTTTGTTTGAATGACCCAGAAAAGTGCATCTTTCTGTTCAGCTTGACAAAGAACAAAGATGGAGAAGTTAAGTGTTGGGATGTCCTTGAAAATTGTTTTCTGTTGCCTTCTCTCATTGATTTTTGTATCCATGTTTTATGTTTAACCACCTGTTAAAATAATTTGGGCATTCTCTATGGTGATTTGTCACTCTCTTTGGCAGATTTTCCTGTGCTACATTTCATGTCCAAGGCTGGATATGTATTTATATTGCTATAGCTGGTGTCTTCTACATACATAGAGGTAGATAGATGATAGATGGATAGATAGGTGATAGATAGATGGATGGATGGGTGGATGGATGGATGGATAGTTTAGATAGATAGATAGATAGATAGATAGATAGATAGATAGATAGATAGATAGATAGATAGATAGATAGGGCAGATAGTTATATAATCAGTAGGGCTTGTTGATTAACCTTTGTTTTTTCCCTGAAGGGACGGCGGAGGAGGATGAAGGGGATGACTGCCTCCTGGGGTCTGTGGATGAGTTCTGGTGGTTCCCTCACATGTGGAGCCACATGCAGCCCCACCTCTTCCACAACGAATCCTCCTTGGTGGAGCAGATGATGCTCAACAAGAAATTTGCCTTAGTAAGTAACTCATCTTGACTTTTGCATTTATCTAGGTTGGCCAGGTTTTTATATGGTAAATTTCTTAAAGTCTTTACAGACAGTGGCAACTGTTAAAAAGGCTTTTCTGTGAGATCATAAAGTTATTAATAGCACAGCCTTTTGATAGATGGCTCTGAGTTTACATGCTTGATGTGCTGGGGACAATTTCAGAGGAACTTCATGACTCAGTCACATGATGGCTTCCTGCTACATTAGTGAGATAGGAATATGCACATAAAACACCTATTCATCAAATGACGTATCTATGGCCCATTGTGAGCATGGACAACACAGACACAAAACTCAGAATTCAGAAAGGTAAGTATCACTGACGGTGGTCAGAGAAGCAACCCTGTGGAAACAAGAGTTCAGGTTTACACTGCAATGAGTAAGATTTGGGTGTCGGCAACCACTGAAGACAAAGCGGGTGAATAAGCAAATATGGTGAAGAAAGCTGATGGTGCCCGGCTCCCAAAAGCTATAGCGTCTGGGGTCTTAAAAGCTTGAAGGTAAACAAGCAGTCATCTAGCTCAGAAGCAACAAAGCCCACATGGAACAACATATCAGCCTGTGCGATCACGAGGTGTCGAACGGATTACTGAAGACAAATGGGTGCATAAGCAAAGGTGGCGAAGAAAGCTGATGGTGCCCGGCTATCAAAAAGTATAGCATCTGGGGTCTTAAAGGCTTGAAGGTAATCAAGCAGCCATCAAGCTCAGAAGCAACAAAGCCCACATGGAAGAAGCACACCAGCCTATGCAATCACGAGGTGTCGAAGGGATCAGGTATAAGGCATCATCAGAACAAAAAAATCTTACCATAGTGAATGATAGAGGGAGTGCGGAGTAGAGACCCAAAGCCCATGAGTAGGCCACTGGAGATCCCCTTGCAGAGCGGTCTCAGGGAGGAGATGAGCCAGTCAGGGTGCGATGTAACACTGATGAAAAATACAACATTCCTCTAGTTCCTAAATATGTTTCCTCCCCACTCCCACTACCATGACTCGAATTCGACCTTGCAAGTCTGGCTAGACCAGAGGATGTACACTGGTACAGATAGGAACTGAAAATACAGGGAATCCAGGGCAGATGATCCCTACAGGACCAGTGGTGTGAGTGGCGAAACAGGGAGGGTAAAGGGAGAATGGGTAGGAAAGAGGGAACCGATTACAAGGAACTATATGTCACCTCCTCCCTGGGGGACGGACAACAGAAAAGTGGGTGAAGGGAGATGTTGGACAGGGCAAGATATGGCAAAATACCAATTTATAAACTATCAAGGGCTCATGGGGGAGTGGGGAGGGAGGGGAAAAATGAGGACCTAATGCTGGGGGTTTAAGTGGAGAGAAAATGTTTTGAAAATGATGTCCAAATGCGCTTTACACAATTGATGTGTGTATGGATTGCGATAACAGTTGTATGAGCCCCTAATAAAATGTTTAAAAAAAAAGATTTAGGTGTCGGGTTGTCTTGAGTGAAATGAAGCTGAGGGGAACACCTGGTCAGAGCCCATCGCAAACCTTCAGAAGGAAGTACTGAAGACTCAACCTGGGAAGTAATAAAATTGGAAAGTTTGCCATTTGAAGAACATTTTAAATGTATGTGTTATAGAAATGGAAATTTTCCCCCCTGAAGCAGAGGACATTATTTGATACTAAAGAGTTTATGATTCAGGACAGAAGAATTTACAATTAAAGTTCTAGTAAATACAATAGGCCAGAAAATATGTAACCCATGGGAGGAAGCTATGATTCAAAAGCCAGTAGAACACAGGAGGAGGGAATGGTGTGTATCTCTGTTTTCCTGTGATTATAATCGTTAGCGGGTCCCAACTTATAGCAACCACCAGTCCAACCAAAAACGAGACACTTCAGTCCTTCACCGTCGTTGAAGTTATGGTTATGCTCGATCCCATAGCTGCAGCCACTGTGTCAATCCAAATCACCCAGGGTCTCCTTCTACTGGGCAGGCATGATTCCCATTTCCAGGGAAAGGTCTCTCCAGACAATATCTGCAAAGTAGTGAGACAGTCTCAACCTTTCCACTTCTAAGGAATATTCTAGCTGCATCTCTTCCAAGACAGACCTCTTTGTTCTTGTGGAAGTCCATGATGCTTTCACCAGCTCTAGAATTCAAGTGTATCAGTTCTTTTCACCCTTCCTTATTCCGCGTCTGATTCTCCCATGTTCATGGGGCTATTGAAAATCTCATGGCGCAGGTCAGGCTCACCCGAATCCTCAAAGTGACCTGCTTGCACTTTAAAGTGATCTTGTGTACCAGATTTACCTAATGTAATGTGTTGTTGGATTTGACTTCAAAAAACTGTTAAAAAATAAATTTGGGTGACAGAGGTTTATTGCTGCTAAATTTAAAGGTGTTAATAAGAAAGGATCTAGGGATTCAGATGTTTTAATGCATATACACATAGTATGTCCCTTATAGTCAAGTTATGTCCTTTAATTCTCACAGATACCTGGCATGATAGATATGTTTCTAATTTGTCATCACTTTATAGATGAAATGAACTCTGGTAGTTTAGACAGGCTGCTAACCAAAAGATCAGTGATTCAAACGTACCAGCCACTTCATGGGAGAAATACATAGGAGGCTGTCCATTCCCCTTAAAGATTTACAATCTTGGAAATACTAAGAAACTGTTCTGCCCGATCTTTCAGGGTTCCTCTGAGTTGAAATCGACTACATGTCTGTGGGTAGGAGAGAGGCTTCAGAAGTCCATGTCTTTCAATACGAAGTCAATTGTGTTCCCCAGACCTCCTCCCAACTCACTTCCCAGATGTAAGGGTAGATTTCATCCCTGCTTCATAATCCAAGGGAATATCTGGTAAGCCAAGTAGTTAATATAAGGGAAATAGAAACTAGACGTAGAACTCAGATCATGTTTTTTCTTGTGGTTCTCCAAGGTTCACCAGGACAGGAAGTTTCTCCAAAATGTCTAGAAAGGAAACGGACAATGACCGTGACAGTATTATTTATTATGGGTAGACCGAGAAGGAAGAGAGATGAGGCAGGCTTGGGAAACCGGGGGGACAGTTCTCTCTTCCACCCTTTAAGATCACTATGAGTTGAAATCAATTCCACAGCAATTAGTTTGGCACTTTGGTCTCTAGATTAAGAGACTAATTCAAAAAAATCTATTCTGGAAAAAAATGATGCCTCAACTGTCTACTCACTAAATGAAATATGGGAATACTTAAATTAAGGGAATATTCCAGTTTGCAACCTGCTTGCATTCTGCTTTTCTTCACCAGGTTGGCTTTAAATGTGAGTGTGAGTTTTTCCCAAGGGAAGGACTGAACGAACAATGCACAGAAAAGTGGGGCTGCCTGGAGGGTAACCAGGTGTTCGAACATCATTTAATACTAAAAGGAGTGATGGAATGAGAGAACATTGGAAGTTCTTTCCAATTTAGAAAATCCACGACAGTGAAGTAAACCAAGGAGGAGTTACAGATTGGGCTGCTAACCAGAGGGTCAGCAGAACGAAACTGCCAGATGCTTTGAGGGAAAAAGATGAGGCTTCCTGCTCCCTCAGAGAACCGCAGATGGACTGTGCTATTCTTGTCCTGCAGCGCTGCTCTAAGTCAGAATGATTCCATGGCAGTGAGTGATCATGTCACCCCCTTTGATGTGGACATTCTTCATTCAACATCTATAGACAGATACCCACAATTCTCTTTCATGTTTTTGGACAACATACACATCTGTCTCACAGGAATTTGGTTTCCATTCTAACTTAGCTTTGGAAGTTCTAAAAGCTTATTATGGAAGGTCAAGCAAATCCTTTAGGCAAACCGCATTTGACGACTACTATTGTCAGGAAGTAGAACCTTCAGAGCTGTTCAGAAAATAGTTTTAGGTACCAACCATGGCCTAATTCAGGCATTAACCTAAACTTAAATTTCAGCAGGAAATTTTTTAAAGCACCAATTCTGAAGCAAGGATTAATTTAAAAATATGAATGACTGACCTATAATATAGTTTGAAATATCTATTGTGCAGATGTAAAAATAGAAAAATGCACCAATAAGAAAGTAAAAGAGCTTATGACAAATAAACCAACAGGTCGTCACTCCTGATTCATACACTCAACTTAAGAAAGGCATGTAAATTTTGGCAAATTTTAAAAGTTTCATTTTTAATAACAAGATAATTAGTAGAGACTTTTTATCGTGGAACATACTGCCTGTTACTGATAATATTTTTTCAATCTTTAGTATCAATAGAGCAATTTTCCTAAAACTATAAAACCTTACCAAGGACTGTATTTTTTTTCTTTCATTATCATCAATTTTTTCATACTCTTTTATAAGTTCAGCAGAACCTGGTAATTCACTAGCTGAAATGTCTATTGTCAATTATTCAACATTTTGGATTAGTAAGCTACATTAATTCTTCTAATGTAGAAATAAAGATTATAGTATAAAATGTAATTTTAAGTCGATTGAAAGACTTGCTGGCTTAGGAATATGTGGTAATCTTTTAATTAGTTTGCTTGCCAACTGAAGAATTATTTGTACTTCAGGGCAGCACTTTTTAAAGAGGCACACTAAAATTCTATTTTATTGATATTGAACACAAAGTCCAGGTCTAGTAATAATAATAAAAATAGAGTTTAAAATAAGATGCAAGGGTCTAATCAGAGCTGGTAGGCCACTTTGGGAATCATCTAACTAACACCCTTTAAGAGAGACC